TGCACAAAATATCACCACATTGCATATAGTACATACAATACATACAATACATACAATACATACAATACATACAATACATACAATACATACAATACATGCAATACATGCAATACATACAGTACATACAATACATACAATAGATACATACATATCTACCTGCCTACATACATACATACATACGTACGTACATAGATACATACTTTACAGCCGACGGCTCAGTCCGCCGACATTGCACCCTCCGCTTCCTGTCCCCTGCATGTCCTCGCATTTCCCTGCACTTGACCGTCATTTCCCCTCCGTCATGTCCCCATTATTTTCCCCGTCATTTCCCTTCATTTCCCCCGAATTCTCCAGTCAGTCCCCCTTCAGTGCTCCCCTGCACTGTTCTGCATTTCCAGATGTCCCCTGCCTTTCCCTTCACTGCGGGTTTATTTTCCGTTCGTCCCAAAAAACGGTGTTGATCAGCCTGAAGGAGGCCAATAATACTGAAAAGCATGGTAGTTTTCACCGTTTTCGCTAAAAGGCGGTCGAACCACAAAGTGTGTTTCACTGTTTTTAGCGTACGTACGCACATACGTACGTTTGCACGAACATACACATACACACCCATACAGACACGCACACACACACACAGAAGTACGTGCAAACGTACAGACAGACATTCAGACAGGGAAGCAGGCATGCATGCGTAGAGAATACTATGTGCATCATATACATGTAATGTAGTGTAATGTTATGTGATGTTATGTTATGTTGATGCTAGATTAATGTGATGTAATGTAATTTTCGTGTATGTGTGTGTATGTAGTGTAATGTAGTGTAATATAATGTAATGTAACATATTGAAATGGACTGTACATGTGCATGTATGTATGCATGTATGTATGCATATGTATGCATGCTTATGTATGTATGCTTTGTATTTATGTATATATGTATGTGTGGCTCTATGTAAAGTATGTGTGTAGTGTCATGTCATGTCATGTCATGTCCTGTCATGTCATGTCATGTCATGTCATGTATCGCAATGTCATGCAATGAAACCTAATATGTGCTGTAGTGTAGCATAATCCAATGTAGTGCAATGTAATGCAATGTAACGTAATGTATTGTATTATAATGTTATGTATGTACGTATATATACAATGTATGTAGTGTATGTACGTATGGTATGGTATGGTATGGTATAGCATGTAATGTAATCTAATGTAATGTAACGTAATGTAACGCAATGTAACGTAATGTAATGTAACGTAATGCAACGTAATGTAACGCAACGTAATGTATGTATGTATGTATGTATGTATGTATGTATGTATGTATGTATGTATGTATGTATCTACTGTATCTACTGTACGTACGTACGTACGTACGTATGTATGTATGTATGTATGTATGTAACGTAACGTAACGTAACGTAACGTAATGTAATGTAATGCAATGTAATGTAATGTAATGTAATGTATGCATGCATGCATGCATGTATGTATGTATGTATGTATCTACTGTATCTACTGTACGTACGTACGTACGTACGTACGTACGTACGTACGTATGTATGTATGTATGTATGTATGTATGTGTGTAATGTATGTATGTATGCAATGTAATGTAATGTAATGCAATGCAATGTAATGTAATGTATGTAATGCAATGCAATGCAATGTAACGCAATGCAACGTAATGTAACGCAATGTAATGTATGTATGTATGTATGTATGTATGTATGTATCTCCTGTATCTACTGTACGTACGTACGTACGTACGTACGTACGTATGTATGTATGTATGTATGTATGTATGTAATGTATGTATGTATGTATCTACTATCTGTACGTACGTACGTACGCGTACGTGTACGTACGTATGTATGTATGTATGTATGTATGTAATGTATGTATGTATGTATGTAATGTATGTATGTATGTATGTATGTGTAATGTATGTATGTATGTAATGTATGCAATGCAATGTAATGTAATGTGTGTAATGTAATGTAATGTAACGTAATGCATAATGTAATGTATGTATGTATGTATGTATGTATGTATGTATGTATGTATGTATGTATGTATGTATGTATGTATGTATGTATGTATGTAATGTATGTATGTATGTATGTATGTATGTATGTATGTATGTATGTATGTATGTATGTATGTATGTATGTATGTATGTATGTATGTATGTATGTATGTATGTATGTATGTATGTATGTATGTATGTATGTATGTATGTAATGTAATGTAATGTAATGCAATGCAATGCAATGTAATGTAATGTAATGTATGTAATGTAATGTGATGTAATGTAACGTAATGCAACGTAATGTAACGCAATGTAATGTATGTATGTATGTATGTATGTATCTACTGTATCTACTGTACGTACGTGCGTACGTACGTACGTATGTATGTATGTATGTATGTATGTAATGTATGTATGTATGTAATGTAATGTAATGCAATGCAATGCAATGCAATGTAATGTAATGTATGTAATGTAATGTAATGTAACATAATGCAACGTAATGTAACGCAATGTAATGTATGTATGTATGTATGTATGTATGTATCTACTGTATCTACTGTACGTACGTACGTACGTACGTACGTATGTATGTATGTATGTATGTATGTATGTATGTATGTATGTATGTATATGTATGTATGTATGTATGTATGTATGTAATATATGTATGTAATGTATGTATGTATGTATGTAATGTAATGTAATGTAATGCAATGCAATGCAATGTAATGTAATGTAATGTATGTAATGTAATGTAACGTAATGCAACGTAATGTAACGCAATGTAACGCAATGTAATGTATGTATGTATGTATGTATGTATGTATGTATGTATGTATGTATGTATGTATGTATGTATGTATCTACTGTATCTACTGTACGTACGTACGTACGTACGTACGTACGTATGTATGTATGTATGTATGTATGTATGTATGTATGTATGTAATGTATGTATGTATGTATCTACTGTATCTACAATGGCAAGCTGGTACATGCTGTATGGCGAGTCAGCAGCCAAATTGCAAGCGAGCAGCTGCTGCTACCTTGGCTGGGAATCATCAACTCCCATGGACATAACCAAGTTTCATGATCAACAACAAGCCCAAAGTTTAGCTACTGCCGGCGGGAGGGCCCATTTGTGTCTCCTTTTGAAAGCTGAACAAAGGAGATGGATTCTGGATGATTACGTCCCCAGTTCGAATGCTCATTCAAGCTGCATTTCCAGTCCATTGTCGAGCGGGTCTGCACCTTGAGATTTGCACAGCCTTGCTTGTCCACCAAGCTGGACCACGATCCAGTTGTACCGCAGTACATGCCTCGGCCAGTGATTTCCGATGCAAGAGACCTTGCCTTCGCGCTTTGAACCTGCGACAGGTACCCGCTTACACATGAACAGGCTCACATTTGCTTCATTGCCCAACACGTGCCGACTCTGACATGAATGATAAAGAAGCCTAGCTTTGCAGGTTCACGATTTGCGCAGAGCGCTCGGGAACTACAACTTGGCAATCTGAAATAAGATGCTCTGGATAGGCTCACCAGCAGCCGGCACATTCTCCGCATTTGCCACCTCCATTGCACGCAACAGCACCAAGAACAGCTGTCCATCTGATGTGTCCACCTCTTCTTGCGCATCCATGCCAACTCACCGGGTGCGATCTGAACTTAGGCCCTTGCACCAATGGAACCAGGGAAGCACAAACATGTGCGATTGCGATATGGATTTGAGCTTCGATCAACACACCCAGTACAAACACCGACATGCTAAATGGACGTGGACAGTCAGTGTATGCACTGCAAGCCCATCCTGACAAAAGTGGAGTCCGTGCCCTTCTTGGAAACAAACTGACTTTGCAAGGGGTCTTCTCGGATCGACAAGGGGATGGAACGACTATAATGACTCTCTTCTGCTTTTCTCTTCCTGTCTTCTCTCCTTCTGTCTTTTTGTTGTTGCCTGTCTTTGCCTGACCACGCAGTGAGGGAACCCACGCCTGACCACCAGTGAGGTACTCCACTCCGGGCAGTTCTGTGGTACCATAGTCTGCCAGCTTTGCGCAAATGGCCACGGCTTCCTCGGGACAAACCCATGCAAACATGACCACTAAATGGTTCTGTCTGTCTGTCTATCTGTTCATCTATCTATCTATCCATCCATCCATCCATCCATCCATCCATCCATCCATCTATCTATCTATCTATACACATATAACAGGTACTTGTATGCCTGCGTGTGACCATGTCACGTCTGGATGCGATAGGCAAAAGGCTTGTCAGCAGGTGCCCTGCAGCCTTGTTGGGCATCTCCCTTGTCCGTGATTGGAATGTTCGAAACCATGTGTATGCCTCCGCTACAAACTCATAAAGACCAAATTAAAATCAAGAGCTACGCCTTTTTTGGCCCAAAGACAAACTAAATAAGGTGCAAGAATACCCCGACACAATGCCACCTTGTTGCATTGGCAAGTTCCTATGAACACTGAAGGCCGCCACCTGCCCTCCCCCACCAACAACCAACGAACCAAGATCATGACCCGTGAACTTTGTCATTTTGCCGAGGCAACAAAAGGTTCACTACAACTAGTTTCGGGAAGACACACCTTCCACTGGTTTATGCGTAAAGCAGAATGATATGAACCCTGAAAAACACCCGAACAAGAACTGCAGAATGCCCTGGCAAAACAAGCATACTGAGAAACAACGCAATGCTGAGGTGCCACGGGCATGTCTTAGTTTGCTCCTGTCCAACGTTGTCACTGTATTTACTCCTCGTTGCACCTCTTCCTCGCGGACTTGACAAGCAGCTCTCATATTTGCAGCTAAGCGGCAACATTCTCGCTCGCGCTTGTCGCCAGCGCCTTGCCTCCGGATCCAAGTCAGCAGGAGAGAATACTTTGCATGGAACTGGCGACAGAGGTCGCTATCAAGCATTGTCTCTCTCCGTGGCACAACATGGTGGTCAGTGCCTCTCAACGTGATCTCACCGCAGCCAAGCAGTCGGCATGACGGGTTGCTACAATGCTCCAAAGCAATCAAAACTCATCAGCTTGTTCACGGCCAATATTCTTTGAGAATGGCCTGAAAGCCATGACACACAAATCCTTGCTTTGTTTTCTGAGTTTCTGGTTGAACTGAGAAGGAGGAGCAGGAGGAGGAGCAGTAGAAGGGAATGCACTTCCCAAAAATATAGTCCGATTGAGAAAAGTGCTTTCAGCGGCGCTTGTAAACACTGCACCGTTGGGGGGGTGCTTCTCACACACCCGATGCCCACCCTCCGCTCTGGCTTGCTTACCAGGATACATTCGTTCTTCTGCAGGCCCATGGGCCTTGCCCCTTTGCAGGCAGGGCCCTTGCAGTGGCAGCCTGGCACGAGCACCCACATCGGTTCTCGAGCGGCACACACTCAATACACTTGCCTAGCCTACCAAGTCCATGTCCGTGCAAACGGCGTGGCTCTCGCTTGCAGAAGCGCCTGTGACCTGAAGGGATCAAAGGAATCAACATGTCTGCGCTCCACAGCTTCTTTTGTGACGATCCCCCCATGAAACTGGAATCGACAGGTTGGCAGCTGCACCTAAAGGCAAAAACAACTACACCACCCGTTCGGCATTTATCTGGCATCACATCTAGGACACCTTCCCCAAATATCACTCTGAACCCACATAAGTTGCCGGTTTAAGATTATGGTTTTAGGTTTGGGTGTCGGGCTTCTAGTAATTTTAGAGTCCTCGCAGCAAGCATAATTCCGCAAACGGTGCGCTTTCCGTTGAGTTTGCAAGTTGCGCAACCGGGACCCAGTCGGAGCTGAGTTGTTGGTAGCCCTAAAACCCTGACCCTGCACAGGAATGTGTGCCTTTTGCCAAGTGTCTTTCGAGGGGAATTGGGGTAGATCACATTCACTGGCCGACAAGTTAGGCAAAGTTGAGAGACCATGGACATAACTGAAGAACTTGGCAAGAAGAGGTTTAGACACCCGACATGTGATGGAACCTTTCAGAATCTGCATGATGCAGAAACATTAATCAAAGATTGAACGCTAACCAAAAAGAAACAACTGGTGCACAGTAACCTGCAAGAGAGTCTCATTTACAGAATCAAAACTAGACATAAACACAACTAACAAATCGGGAGAAGGTGCAGGGCGAACAGCTATAAGGTACACTGGTCAGAATCAATACGCGTCAACATAGCAAACAGGACAAATAGAGGCTCAAAAGACCAAGGAAACATGCTTTTAGAGAGACGAAAACTTATGCAGTTGGAGAGAAAGGAATCAGATGTCAACCTGTCAGCTACCTCCAGGTCGCGAGGCAGTCAGTACAAAAAGATGATCAAGTGATGCTTGCAAGCTTCACCCTGGAATCTCAAACAACTTGCTTTGTACCAAGTTGTTCAACAGTTGACAGTGTTTTGACAATACCCACAGAATATGGCCATCTGTGTGTCATGAATATGAATATATCAAAAAGATAGCGCTTAGCAAGTTGAGGTTGTGCCCTTGACATTTCCTAATTTCTGACTTAGGATAGGACTCTGTGAAATCATACTACACGACTAGCAGCTTGGCACCAGCTGTGGACGCCACACGTGCTGCCAAGATGCAACTTTGGTCTCAGTGACCGCCAGGGAGCGTATGCAGTGGGCCTGCACCTGCACTTTCCTGGGGGGCTTCAGTGTAGCAAGAATCCAAGAAAAACACGTGGAATTATCGTCCGAGAAGCAAACTCAATAAGCTGAATGAGTTACATCGCAGCATGTTCCCTTTGGGCAACAGCACTCTCGGCCCCTCCGTACCAAGGTGCCCATCCAAACCCACCGCCTCGCACTTCGAACCATCGGAGCTGGGTGCCACGTAGCAGCGCTCCCCACCCCTTGGCACGGCACCCCATTTCTGGATGAAGGATGCTTACATCCTTCCAATGGATCGTTGCTTACATCCTCTTCCATGTCAGTCTGCTATGACTTCCAACATCTTGGTAAATAATCACGTACCCTTGAGAATGTATCATGGGTAGGCTCTGGATATGCAACAAATCAGCATGACCGCTGGCAATCCATGTGTAGTGCAAGAGAAAGAAACTTAATATTGCTCGGCGTGCGTTCAACTATGGGGTGCTTTGCCATTGAACAATGCTGTTCCCTCGCGCTTGGTTAACCAAGGTCTGAGGTTCCGGGGAGGTTGAGAGTCCCCATCCAAGATCCTGCCTGGAAGAACAGCTGCAGCCCATAAGACGGTAATTTGACGCGCAGGCCTGCCGAAGCTAAGCCGAAGCCAAGCACTCCAGGCACTTGAATTGAATTTTGCAAGTCAGATGTACACAGCTCGCATTTCGCTCAAGCCGCCTGTTGCGGGCTGTAGTCCTCATCGGACATGAGGGCAACTTTGTAGTGCGGTGATGCCTTGGATAGTCGAGACCCTGACCTACCAGCTCAGGCTTCTGATGGCGAGGTTTTCCAGTTCCATCTGCCACAGACAAGATGCCAGGCGGAGGCAGATGCCATGCGCCTTGAGGTCCTTTGTAGTGGCTGACGTGGGCGAGGCCACGCAGGTGCTGCCACCGATCTGAGGCAGAGAGAGGGCTCTCAGTGCAGACTACCAAAGCAACTCTCTAATTCACCTGACGCTACCTGACGTCAGAATCCACAATTTGCAGCTCTCAACCATGTTTTGCCAAGGCTGCGTATGTGTCTATCTCTTTGCTCTGGCATCTGGTGCAACCGCGTTGGAGTTGCGAATTGCTGAAGTCGGGGCTGGGGTAGCCGTGTAGGGGAAATACATACTGATGCCGTGTAGGGTAACCATTTCCTGATGCCGCAAGCTAACCGTACTGGAAATAATAGCCAACGTTCTGTGAAGCCCTTTGAAAGAAGTGCGCAATGCAGGTAAATACATACGTACAAGTCCATGCACGTACATTGTGTGTGTGTGTGCGCGCACGCTATGAGCTTCATGTACATATTCATTCTCCTTAGAAGCTTGTCACATTGCCAGCTCTGTGCAATAGCCAGCCAGCCTAGGCTCTGCGCGCCTCTGTGACCATTGCGCCCCGGCATTCCCCATTGTCTTGAAAGCACGTACAGGAAGTCGCCTCAGGCGAAGCCAAATCGCTTCAACTGACTGACATGGGCCAGCTCGAAAATGGAATGGCGAGCTCAAGTTGTTGCAACAGTTTTGCGCTATCTGCAGGGAACATGACGCAGTTGGGCTGTGACACCTGCATTCGGCCAATGTCTGGGGATCCAACCAGTTGTGACATACGGTCCCACCGCAAACAGAAACGGTTTCAAGTTGATTGTGACCTGCAGAACCTTTTTGAAATGCAAACTGTGATGACTCAGAAGTCTCATGAGATGGCTTCCGTATGGATACATATTGGATCATACGCCGTTGCCACTTTGGCAGAATTTTCGGGATGTGTCGGACTCATGGACTGCAAGGGCCAGCGAGGCGTTCTTCAAGGCCCCGAAGCCGAAGCGCATAAACGTGGGGTCCCACACACTGATAACTTCTTTAGTTCACATGCACACATCGCAAGCTGGGTAAACAGCCGTCTGATCCACGTCTGTTGCTTGACCAGGCAGCTGCATAGCCCGCATTGCATGCCACAGGCATTGACTCCTTTCCTGCAAGCAAAGCTCACGCATGTCGTGTCCTCAACCAACTCCTGCCCTCGCACGTCTCAGCTGCTGAATGCACCAGACTAAGGAGATGTCTCCAAAACAGTGATTCCAAGCTCAAAGCAGGGCAAGTAGAACTCAAACTTTGCAACAAAGTCTGTTGAAACAGCTTGAACTTATGAGCCTGCTAACAGAATTGCAACTTACTCACTTCTCATGCTCTGATGTACTGGAAAAATAGCCCTGGCTCCTGTACCAACTTCGAACCAATCTTCCTCAATGATGGCAGACACGGATGAGGAATCGAGGGTCCTGAGAAGCATTCTCAATCTGTTCGAGTCGTATGGAGTCCCATGTAGACCCACTTCAGGAAAACAATGCCCAGCTGGCATGGCATTGCTGTACAGCTCAAGAAACCATCACTGCAAACAAGCACTCTGCGTCAAACGGATCCCTGTGAAACTGATCAATGCCCCATTGAAGAAAAGCAGTCTCTGATTTAAGAATGCGGTCGTTGGACTTCTCGCGAGTGCAACCTTAAGAGTTTGGGTTCTCTAGATCCACAACCCTACTGTTTGTCCCAGTACATTTGAGCAAGGGTTAAAGCGCGAGCTAACAATGAAGCCAGGAAAGTCAAATAAAGTGCCTCGGTGGCCGATGGGAGGACGTGTCAAATCTGTGCGATGAGTTACGTAGCTTTCCCAGCGCATCTTTGACGCCAGCGCCATTCAGAAGCAGACCAAAGGTCTCGCTCGGGACTTCCAGACTTGCTGAATATTTTCTGACGACGGGCTAAAGAGCGACTAAGAGTGACAGGCCTCTCATTGAAAGCGAGTGGTTGCTGCTTGAACAGCTCAAGCTCTTGAAGAGGCAAAACAAAGCAAAACACGAAGATGAGGATTTTCTGAGTTGCACATTGGGCGCTGATGGTCTGGAAACGTCGCAGCACCAAATAAGAAGCACCTTCCCTTCTAGTATGAAGTCCCATCACCGCAAGCTGCCGCAAGCTCTGGGTAAACCTACTAAACCTGCGGCCCAAAAAGGGGAAGTCAATAAGGCCGAAGTGCCATTTGATTCCCAGGCCCGGGCTGCCCTCGCTGCTCACGGCCTGACGCATCGCACGAATCGGCTATCCAGCATCTCTGGCAAAGCATGGGTCTGAAAGATATCAACTGCTGGCAAGCAGCTACTTTATGGCACTGATACCTCAATGGCAAGCCCGCAATCGGCTGATGCCGCATTGCCCAGCGCTCGGCAAATGCTCAGTGTAAAGCACTGCAGACGAAGAGAGAAGAAGCAAAAGCGAGCGACCGAGAGAGAGAGAGAGAGACAGAGAGAAACATAAATATAATGTGTATAAATATATATATATAGATATATATATATATATGTATATTGGCACAAAGAAACAAAGAAAAGAGGACATAGACATAGAGACACAGACAGAAACAAACGTAGACATGGACATAGACATAGACACAGAAAGAGTGGGAGAGAGAGGCATACAGAAACATCGTCTTCGGAAAGAGACAGAGACAAAGAGAGACATAGCCATAGAGAAAGACAGAGCGAGTGAGAAGAAAGACATAGAGAGAGAGAGAGAGAGATAGAGAACAACAAACAGGTACAAACATAGAGAAACACAGACTAACAAGGACAAACAGAAACAGAGAGAGAGAGAGAGAGACAGCCAGAGAGAGAGCGAGACACAAAGAGACATAGACATCAACAGAAATACAGAGACACAAAAAGGTATATACAAAGACATCAAAAGAAAAACTGTATGCACAAAACATAGACATGCAAAGACATGCATAAAGGAGAAGAAGAGACGTAAAGAGACATCGAGAGACATGCAGAAACATAGAGAAGACAGGCACAAACAGACATTTAAACACACCGGTGCATCGACAAAGAGAGAGATACAGAGGTACATAAATATAAACGAAGAGATACAAAGGAATATACTCGAGACAAAAGGGACATATATAGACAGAGAGACGCACACGAAGAGGAGTGGGGAGAGAAATAGAACGACCTACATAAATCCAGAGACATAGACATAGAGAGACGCAGGCGACAGAAAGACAAAGCAAGAAATGGAGAAAAAAAACTGGCAGCAGCAAACAGAAGCAGGAGCCCCCTGCAACCTCTCACAAAGTAAGCTGATTCACGAGGATCGCGCTCGAGGTCGCAGCACGCGCGCAACAAAGGTGGCTGCGCCCGGCGACGAAACTGGAGCCTTCCACGCTTTGGCCGGACTACTGCAACCACGCGCAGTCGGCCCCCGGGCCTTGCACTGGGGGAGTGGGGGCCTCTAGGCCACGCGCAGCAACCGTGCCGGGGCCGGGCTCTGCCAGGCCATCCCTCTCGCAGCAGGAGGACGCGTAGTTGCTGCGTGGGCTCCAAATCTTTGGAGGAGCAACCGCAATCTGCAAACCGACAACTGCTCTATGTCTCATTTCTTTGGGTTGTGTCTTTTTATGTAACTCGCAGTCTCTCTATGTTGCTCTATGCCTAAGACTCGCCATGTCCTTGTTCCACCGGGGCGGTGAGCCCAATGTGTCTCTGCGCCGGTACGGATGCACGGTCGGTGGTGCCTACAAGGGTTTCCCGCGCATGTTTCCCTCCGGCGCGAGGTATCCGCTGTAGCGTGCCCACGTCCTCCGTCCATCGCCTAGTAGTGGTCGTTGTTTGGGTAGAGCATGATGCCTTTGATCTTCTTGGAGACGTTTTGGCATCGGATCTGCACCGGCGCCGGGTGATGTGAACCCGCAGTCTGTTGGCTGCCGCAAGGAGGCTGCGGCGGCAAATCCACCTGTTCGGACGGAGTGAAGAGGAGAGCCGCTCCGGCTACAGAGTCGTACAGTAACCACATGCGCCCTGTGCGCCACACTCGAGCCTCCTGTAGCGCAACATGTCTTTCTTGCACTTTGTCATAGGGGAACCTAGACATAAAGAGACAAAGACATAGAAAGACATCACAAGACAAACAGACATAGAACGACATGGAGAGACATAAAGTGAAATACAGAGAGGCATAGACAGACACACATGGACATAGAGAAGCAGCGCGAAACAGAGAGAGAGAGAGAGAAAAAAGAGAGAGAGAGAGAGAGAGAGGTGGATACATATATATATATACATATATAGCGCCACAGTCGCTTCTTGTCCGTTTATGCCCCTTGTGTCGCTATGTCTCTTCACGTATTTCTATGCCTTGTGTATACGTTTCTCTATGTCTCTCTATTTCTTTATTGTTCTGTCTATTTCTTCCCAGAGCGAGGCGAGAGAGAGCGAGAGAGACAGAGACAGAGACAGAGACAGAGAAAGAGAAAGAGAAAGAGAAAGAGACAGAGAAAGAGAAAGAGCAAGAGCAAGAACAAGAGCAAGAACAAGAGCAACAAGAGCAAGAGAAAGAGAAAGAGAAACAGAAAGAGAAAGAAAAATAAGAAAGAGAAAAACAAGAGAAGGAAAAGGAGAAGGAGAAAGAGAAAGAGAAGGAGAAGAAAAAGAGAAAGAGAAAGAAACAGAGAAAGAGAAAGAGAAGGAGAAAGAGAAAGAGAAAGTGAAAGAAAAAGATAAGGAGAAAGAGAAAGAGAAAGATGAAGAGAAAGAGAAAAGAAAGAGAAAGAGAAAAAGAAAGAGAAAGAGGAAGAGAAAGAGAAAGAGAAAAAGAAAAAGAGAGAGAGAGAGAGAGATAAAGCGCGAGACAGAGAGAAATAAAGAGAGCGAGAGCGAGAGGGAGAGAGGGCGAGACAGAGAAAGACACAGAGCTACCTGCACCAACATAGAGCTGAATGCGTGCGACGCTGCATGTCGTTCAGTTGCTCAGCGTCGCCATCGGACAT